CTGCAGGAACCTCCAGGACTGTTTTTGTGCCTAAACCTCATTCCTAAACCACATTCTAAACCTCAATATCAAGAGGTACCATATGAACCTATATGGAAAAGCCACTTAATGAAGAAACAAACTTTGATAATATGAAGAACACTGAAGGAAGATTAATTACCATCTTAATCACACTACCCCAATCCAACAGAAGCAAGTGTTTCAAAATTTTTACAGAGATTGCACATAATTTTTGACCTTGACTCAAAATCAATGACCACAACCAAAATGTCAATTTTGCAACTCAAGGAACAGATACTTCCAAAACAGTTAATCGTGAAAATTGTGATTGTACACAGTAATTGAATGTATCTAATATCTGGGTTACAAATGTTAATCCATTCCAAAAAAAAACTCGGATTTCAAATTCATAAAAGAATTCTTGAAATTTCTTGTGTTAATATGCCCATTACAATTATTAAGTATCAAGAACAGGACCACCTGATTTGCAATTTTAACAAATCCAAGACTAAATCTAAACACTATAATTCATACATCTTAAAACAGGTAATGGAAGTAATCGAACACCTTGTCACTAAAACCTAGCTTAAACATTCACAAGAGAAAAATTAGCATATAAACATTTTTGATGTATATAATTAAGAATGTTTTACATATATAACTTTATTTGGACTAATGTTCATTTTGCTAAGTACAACCTTATTCCTTCTCAATTTTGAGGTCCAATCCTGTATTGATGCAATTTGTTATTACCAAGCATTCTAACACTTCAGGTGAGCAAAGTCAACAAGCCTCTTTGCAGGATCATGAGCTTTCAAAACTGAATCATAAAAAAGACAAGAGTTGAAAGCCAGAGTGATTTCTATTTCCTGCAGTATATTTTTGAAACTATTCTTACCCCAATGATAAATTATTCATTCAGAGCCAAAAAGACAACATCATACAGGTAGCATGTTGGCAGTGAGTAGAAAAAGTTTGAAAGAAATTCTAAACATACAGTAAAATGGCTTCCAAAATGTACTTATTTCATAGAATCATATAATGATATAGTTTGGAAGGGACTTCTGTAGGTTTCTAAGTCCACTTGGCTCTCATGCCTCTCATCCTTCCACTGTGCATCTCTGAGAAGATTCTGGCTCTTTTTTCTCTACATCCTTCCATTATGTAGCTGAAGACAGCAATAAGATTCCCCCCAGCCTTCTCTTAAGGTTGAACAAACACATTTTTCTCTGCGTATGTCATGTCTCCTTGACCAACTTGGTGGCCTTCCACTGGACTTCTTCCAATATGTCTGTCTTGTACTGGAAAGCCACAAACCAGACACAATACTCCAAATGTGGTCTCACAGACATCAATTAGAAGGGAATAATTCCTTCCCTTAACCTGCTGGCTGCACCCTAGCTAATATTGCTCAGGGGGAGGTGGCTTTGTTGCAAGGGCATGCTGGTACCTCATGTTCAACTTGTCCACCAGGATTCCCAGGTCCTTTTCTGCAGAGCTGCTTCCTAGCCAGTCACTCCCCAGACTGTATTGTTGCATGGGATTATTCCAGCCCAGATTGAAGACTTGGCATTTGCATTTCCTGTCAACCCATTTCTCCAGTCTATCCAGGTTCCTCTGAATGGCAGTCCTGCCCTCCAGCATATTGACCACTCTCCCCAATTTGGTTTCATACAGAAACTTGCTGAGAGTTTACTTTGTCCCACTGTCTAGATTGTTAATTAAATCTATTAATCGTTAATAATGATTGCTAATAAAGACTATTAGCTATAGTTACTAACAGGTAACTATAACATATTAAGATTCTAGTAGAATTCACCACAATTGTACAAGAGCAAGAAAAGGAAGTGGTTGGGGGGCATCAGAAGTTTTTACTTGAATGTTTATTAAAGTGTTTTGGAGAAAAGGGATACTGTTTAGTATACTTGTAAGTACAAAATTTGATTTTCCCCTGCGTGTTCTTAGAGGTATTACATTTCAACCTCTTTCAGACAACCTTGGAAAATGGAAATAAACTGGAAAATAGAATTTTGCTTTATGGAAAAAAATTGAAGAAACTAACACCAAAGATGCAACTGAAAAAACAAGCTGTTTCCTTTGCATCCTCAAAAATGCCTTCAGAGACAATCTCCTACAGTAGCAGGTAAGTGCTGCTGGCAGAGAACACATAACATTCTGATGCTATTTTGAATGTTTACTTAATTTCCTTCTCTAAAGCCTTTGTCCTTGCAATTAACAGATACCTGTGTTTTTATACAAGTTTTGTAATAATTTATTCTTCACCTGAAGCATTATTCAGAATTTCACCTGATAAAATAGAGCTACAACAAGGGAAGTGCCCTGTGTAAACAGTCATGATTAAAAAATATCTGTAATCTATTCACACACAAATCTTGATTGAAAGGAAGGAAGTTGGACAAAATTAGCATTTCTTTTAGCAGTATAACTGCTTTGATTATTTTAGATGTTGATATCAAAGTAAAAACAATTCTAGCATCTTCCCTTGGTTAATAACAATACAGGATACTGAGACTTTTCTATCAAGTACTGAGAACCTGAACTGTAAATTATATCAGTGGGAGTCAAGAACCTTCAGAACTTCATAGGATCAAGTCACATGCATCTTTTATTCTGACCTCACTAAAATTATGTGATATATTTAACTTCAGAGGTATAACAACTCCAAAAGACATCTATCTGTTTAATTTGACAACAATAAAAACAATGACCAGGGCAGAACATTACTTGCAAAAGTCACCAATTTATGGTATCAGATTTTAAACTATATAAGTATATTGAAAGTTAACTTCTATAAGCACTCTAAAATTCAGCTGTAATTGAAGAATTTTATATGAGACTAATAATATTCTTTAAGAAAAAAAGGTTTGAATATATCTTCTAAGATAGTAACAAATAGCAAATTACTACTGGGCAGTAGTAATATTGCATACTCATATTTTCATAAAGACTAATTATAGGATCAGTAACAAACACAATTTTCCATATTTATAAATTTTAAAATAATATATTAGTGTTTGAATAAATGACATGACATACCACTTCATCTTCAAATCCTCCAGCTAGCACAAGTGAATAAGCTCCATCGTTACTGCGTCCATGGATTCCACCAACATGGGGCCTGTGAACCCCTGCTTCACTCACCTTGGGTATTAAAAAAAAAATGAACATTTTTTTTAAAATAACTTCAAAACAAATGGTCATCTGCAATGACTTTTAGCAATCAATTTTCTGCTTAAAAATTATTTACGTATGTTCATGTAAGCTAACAAGATTGCCATTAGAGGAAAGAATATTATGAATTTTATAGTTTTTTTTAAGGGAAAAAAGACAAAAGAAAGGATATCCAATGAAACAAAAGGACAATACATGTGGTGACACAAAGATGAACAGGTACACTTTGCCCTTTAGGATAAGTCTTCATGACTCTTGCCATAAGCTACATTTAAGACTAGATTCGTGGTTACTTAGACCAGTCCAAATCAGATACAGATTATCGTTCTAATTCAATAGCATTTTATATTTGTATAAGTAATCACATTTACAGCCTTTCTTCATATCTAAACATTTTCTCTTTTACCAATTCTGTCCAAATCCTGTACTTTTTTCCCCACCCACACTTTTATGTAATTTCATAAGATTTTGCATTCCTTTGCTACAGTCTTCTACTTGCATAAGTGGTCAAAATGTATCAGACCAAAGGTCCAGCTAGCCAAATATCCTGTCACTGACAAAAACAAGAGCAGATAGCTGGTGCACAGTATGAAAACTGCTATGCAAGGACACAATGATACTTCTTTGTATAATTTCTCATTCTCAGTTATGCATGGCTCAAATTTCCTAAGACAAAGGCATAGTCTTTGCATGTCATGGGAAAAAGTTTGCCAAGGGTTATTAATTTATCTAATTGATCTCTTGTGGTTAACTCTTGTAAACTAATTAACTCTTGTAAACTCTTAAAATTCACAGTGTTCTACAGTAAAGAGTCCACAGCATTGCTGCATGTTGTATGAACTAGTACTGCTTCTGTTCATTCTAAATCTGGTGCCTGATCATTTCATTTAATGTCCCCTCCTTTTGCATCAGAAAAGAACATACGACTATTCCCTATTCACTTTCTTCAATTTTAATAGACTACTGTACCATACTTTCATATAATTCTTGTATGAAAGCCATTCCACACCTTTAACCATCCTTGTTTTTCATGATATTTTTTCCTCTTCCTTTCTTAATAATTCCTAACACTTGATATACTACTTTGACCACTACTGAACACTGAGATGGCATATTCACAAAATTATCTATTACAGGTCCTCCATCCTAAATGATAATAATTAGCTGAAAGCCCTTCATTGAATATGCAAAGTTATGATTTTTCCCCTCATCTTTACTATCCATGAAAACTTAACATTGCCACTTAACTGTCAGATATTTGTCAACTTTTCTAGACCATTTATGAACATGTCAAACAGCACAGGTCTCAGTAGCACAACCTCACAAAGACACTGTTGGGGCCTTAGTAAGAATATATAGGAAAGTGAAGTTTGTGGGGAACTGGACCGATGCCTGGCAACCAAGCACCTGGAGGAGAACCAATCAGCTGGGAGCCTGTAGCCAATGAGTGCTGCTCCTCAGCGCATGCCCACCTACACCGGTATAAAGCTCTGCTACAGACCACAGCAGAGTGGAGTTGACCTCACTTTGTGTGGAGGTGTTGTTTGCTCTGGCTTGTGGGGAGGGCCCTGGCACTTGGTGCGAGAGTGACCCTCGACAAGACACAACAACAAAGACACAACCTCTGTACTTATATTCCTGTTTGCAATCAGCACTATAAATATCTGAAATTTATATGAGCTTGTGTGTCAGCAAAGGAATTTTTAAAGAGAGAAACTCATAACT